TTGGAATTCTTTCCTACCTAGTGTATATCCCTGCTGTCCCTAAGAAATACTCCTTGGACCAGAATTCATGTGCAGTAGCTAGGACACTGGAAAAGCTCCCATAAATCCAGGACCTACAGCCTCTGGGTGAGAGAAAAACAATGATTCATCCTGAATTTTGGCTCCAGCTCCTTTGTTAGGGCAAAACACAAGAGATCTTGCCAGCTGTTGGAATCAAAAGGGCATTCTGTTGAGGCAGTGACAAGCCTGAGGCTAGGGACAGTGTGTCAGGAGTTCCCACTTAGAAAAAGAGGACGAAGACTTTCTTCTTGACTAAATTTGCATCAGGTTCCTCTGATTTCTCTGTCTGACTCTATCCTGGTTCTGCTCCTCAAGGTTTAGCCAGAAGTCCCCTCCCCTTGCTATCTGCCCCAGTTCCTCATTCTCTGCCCTGGCAGCTTAACATCCTGGCCTGCCTTAGGAAGGATTCTATTGAGCTGCTCTACTAAGAATCATCCTGGCCCCAATATCTTCCCACTGCCGCTCCTTGGTTGCTTCACATGCTTTTTGTGTTCAGGATTGGTTCTGACTTCTCTCCTCAATGCCAGTGCCCTTTTCTGAATAAAGCCCTCCCTACTGCCTTGAGGAACCCCCAGGTGGTGAGCTGCCCGCTGCACCAGCCCTGGTCTGCAGGGCTTTGGGACCTGTTTCCTAGTCAGGCAGGAGGGTCCCTTCTAGCAGCCTTGCCCTGGCCTCCAAAGTCAACCTCTCTCTGATGCTCCCTCTCCCTCAGAGCCCAGAAGTTGTTGAGCAGCAGCCAAGAAGGTAACTTTGTCTTTCTTCTTTCTTCTTCTTCCTTCTTTTTGTCTCTTTCCTCTTGTTCAGCATTTCTGGCCTCCTGCCTGGAGTGCTAGAGTTCACCTATACCTGTTAAATGAAGGACAGGGACAGAAAGGGATGAACACCATGCCTTTTGGCCCCAGGCTTGGCTTGCCTTGCAGAGGCCCCAGGGAAAACCACTCTGTACACAAAGATGGCCTTGTCGGGCCTCTTTGTTCAGCCCTTCACTGTTCTCTTCCCCATCCTCCAGGGTGGACAAGGAGGTGAGGTGGCCTCCTTAGTTCTGCTCCCAGAATTCCTCTCCCTCTAGGTAAGGAGGCCTGGCAACCCCTTCTTCCTCTGCCAGATCTTCCTAATCCCGAAGGACATGCTGAGGCTTTGCCCTGGGGCCTCCAGTTCAGGCAGCCACAGGGACAGAGACACAGGTGCAAAGGGAAGGGTGTCTGCCTGCCCACTGCCTCCTGTCCCTGTCATCCTTGTCCCCACAGAAGAGGCCCAAAGGAAGCTGGGGACTCAGGCTCGAGAGCGCACCCAGCACCACTTTGTGGCCAGAGACAAAGTTCAAAATGAAGCAGTTTACCGGATAGAGTCATTTTATGACTGCTGAATCAAATCATTTTTCAAAAGGGACTGAATGAATTACCAAGCCATGAAAAGACATGGAATAACTTTCATGCATATGAGGAAGTGAAAGTGCTACTGACTATGGTTACAACTATATGATATTCTGGAAAAGGCAAGTCTATGCAGATAGTAAAGGGATCGGTGGTTTCCAGGAAGAGAAGAACAGTTTTTAGGATGGTTGTCCTACTCTACAGTGCTACAGCGATGGCACATAGCACTATACACTTGCCCACATCCCTAGAATGCATGTCCCCAAAAGGGAACCTTAATGGAAGCATGCCATGGTTTTTGGGTGAGAATGACAGGTCTGTGCAGACACATCAATTGTGACAAATGTGCCCCACTGGTGGGGGGCATTGATACCAACAGTGGTGCACCCACTGGGTGCTGGGATATATGGAAAAAGCCTGTATCATCCACTCAATTTTCCTGCGTGCCTGAAATTGCTCTAAATCTAAGTATTTTAGAGGAGAGAGGTGGAATTTAGTGTCTTTTTTATTACTACCAATTCAATTCCCTGTTAAGTCAATTTGCGGCAATCTCTAAGTTTTTGGTCTATGTGGTGGATTAATGGTCAACTTGTAACACCCAGCTGAACTGAATCGGTGTGGAGCTGGGTGTGGCAGGCCCACCTGGGGACTGCTGCCAGCAGCATAAGAGAAGGGAGGGGAAGATGGGGTGCTGTTGATTCTCCCCGAGAAGCTAGCCATGCTAATCTTACTGATATGAACTCAGCCGTTCTCATTGTTGGAGGAGCGCTGGTCCTCACTGTCAATGAGGACGGGCACTGTTCTCTTCAGGGGAGCCTGGTCCTCACCTTGAGCATTGCTTCCTGGCTCCAGGGCAGATCCCTCAGCCTGCTGGCGTCCACCCTTCATCCCGCTGGTACAGACTTTCTAGCTTCCACCACTGACCTTTGGGCCTTGCCAGCACAGGCCCTTGATATAGACCTGCATGAGATATTGTCACAGGCTCTAGGCCTCCAGCTGGACTCATGGAGGGCACTGCTGCAGGATCCAGGCCCTCCGCTGGACTCCTTGGGTCTTTAGTGTGCGGACAGACCTGCACTCTTCTGCATTTGACTTTTTGGGTGAATGCTGCGAAACAATTCTATAAATTATGTGTCCTATTTTGAATATATTCCCTTGCAAACCCTGACTAGAACAATCTAAGATAGATTATAGTTAAAGAACTATTCCTTCAACAGCGCTGGTCCAAAAGCTGGAAGTGCTGGTCTTCCATCTCAGCTCCACTTGTAGCAAGGAGCCTTAGTTTCCCCATCTGTAAACTGAGGGGCAGAGTGACCAGACCCAGCCAGATGGCCTCTGACAAGCTTCTAGTTCTCTCTACAGTGTGAGCAGCCCAGACTACTGGAGGCTGCGGCCTTCCTCCCCAGACCTTACCCTCGGGAGGGATGTTTCAACAAAAGCAGGCATCAGCTGCCCCTACCAGTCAGACACCTGCTGGCAGTCTGCACAAGGCAGTGGAAGAGCTTGAGAAAGCGCTGCTCTCTAGCCTCAGACACGTGGACACACAGCTAGCTGACAAGGCCAAGGCATATGTGACGAAGTTCTGAAGGAGCAACCATGACAATCTCAAGAGGGGACCAGACGCTCACACCTCACCAGGGAAAATCAACAATGCTGTGGCCAACCACACATCTTGAACATCACTTACTTCGCCAGCAGAAGCTCATTTCAGGCATCTTAGTGCTAATTAACTCTGAGAGCCCATTTAAAACCCTTCCCAGCACCACCTCTGGACAAGAATACAAAACAGCCTTCCCTGTCTACTTCAGATAACCCCCGGACATGCATGTCACACTGCCGAGGCTCATGTGTTCATGAGTACCTCCCCAGCAAAGCAAAAGTTGGTTTTCTGACTCTACCAAAGCTACCTTCAGGTCCTGAAATTACAGGGAGTGCGGCAGGCTGCTGGGTCAGCTCTGTGAAGCATGAGATGAGTCCCCACTTCCGCTTTCGGGTTTGTGTCCTCCTTTCCTCTTGTAGTTGTTGATGGTGACTTCCCTATCCTCAGGACCACTGGTAGCAGCTCTTGTCAGTTCCCAAGACCATAGCCAGACGTGGGACCAACTCACAGCACCCACCTGTCTGTCCTGAGCCTTCCCAGCACATGGTGAGGTCCTCAGTGGCAGCTGCAGGTGACCAGTGAGAGGGCTTGGGAGGGGTGGGAAGAGTTGCAGCTCAGGGGGCGGGGTGGGGGGAATCCCACCCCAGACGTGGTGGGGAGTCAGAAGCCAAAAATGGCGAGAAATGGTGGAATGAGCTAACACAGATATGGCTGCCCCTCTCACCAGCTGTTAGGGAGGAGCAACAGGTGGGCTGGAGCGTCCAGCCTCACCTGGAGAAACCAGGTGGTGGGTTGCAGCTGTAGGGGAAGAAACCCCTTCACTGCTCCAGGGCAGCCCACGCTGTGGTGGCCACAGAGAGCTATGAGAGGATGGAGGTTTGTACGCCCTGAGGTCCACAGAGAGCTGACCACGCTTTCCACCTTGTAAGCAGCTCTCCTGTTGCTGCTGAGGACTTCTGGAAAAGAAAGAACTTAGGGCTAGAGATAGGAATAGAGGGAATGTCTTTCTGGGATTTCTCATCAAATCTCTCCCCAAAAACAGTTGACCGGGGAAGCAGGCCAAACCCAATCCACTGACAATATTTATTTCCCCCCATTTCTAGATGTTTCCACAGCTCACTTTTCACCCCAGCTCATACTTTCATGCCATCTCTTTTTTTTCTTTTTTTTCCTCCCTCCATGGCTGCCATGGAGCCAAGTGGGAGCTCTTGGCCGGTTTCTCCCAGGATCGTGAGATCCAGCCTACCACCCTGTGGGAAGCTGAGCGACAGAGCACTTTCTGGAGTTGTCCTCCTTGGGTATGAAAGTCAGCTGCCCTCTTCGGCTTCTGATGACTGGGCAAGTCACAGGACTTCATTATCCTCACCTGTAAAATGGGTCAATAACAGCTCCCACCACATTAGGCTGAGGAGTGTGTGAAATGAGAGCTCTTCGCAAAGTACCTGTACACAGACACTGACCAAAGAGAACTGACATTCCACTTACCATGAGACTTCTTCATCCTGCTCCTGTTCTCCATGCAGCAGGGCCATCTTGTGAAGATAACAGTTGAATCCATCATTCTATCAGAAACTCTCCCTCCCATAGTATCTCACTGTCAAAGAATGCAGCCTGCACGTCTCCTGCCCAGCCCTCCCATCTTCAGCTGTCTGTGGTCACTTCTACAACCTTCTTTGAATACTTCCCTGGCACTCAAAGTCGGGTCCCAGTGCAAATGTCCCGTTTCCAGAGAAGCTGTCTCCCTGCCACTGATCTCTAATCTGACCGTTTTACTCCCTCCTTCCCTGTCCATGACCCCGTAACGCAGAGGGTGCATCGCTGCCCCCATCCACAGTGTGTGGGAGAGGAAACTGGCCCAGTGGCCTGCCCAGGAAGCCCGAGCGGCGGTGCGGCTCCCAGCTCCAAACCGTCTGCCAGACAAAGCCCGGCCACCCAGAGACACAGACACTGCACACAGAGCCCCGAGGTCCAAAAATCAATCAACCTTTTTATTCTCCATTCTGCCTTAGTGTTCTAGTTTTGCAAGCACAAATACATGGAATCAATAGTAATCTTCTCCCCAAATGTCTTTCATTAAAAGTTGACACTAATGGGTGTGATTTGAGGGTGTCCTGCGATGAGACCCGGGGACTGCAGTCCCACAGGGGTGAATCGTCACGTCTCCTGCCAGGTTCTGTCTCGGAGCAGGAAAGGCCTCTGGCGGCTATGAACAGCAGCCCCACACTCTGCCCTTCCGGAGGGGGAAAGGACTTGGCAAGGAGCCAGGCCGAGAAGGGCAAGGTGAGCTAAGAACTGTTGGCCCAGTTTTGGCCCATGCCGGGGCCTGTGACCCTCAGGAATGCTGTGAAAATGCTGAGGAACAGGAGCTCGCTGTCTTCACCTCCAGGTCAGGGCATCCAAACCCTAAGCGGCCCGGACGGACCTGCCTGTGCACTCGAGTTCAGTCCGTACACAAAAAGGGGAGCCAGAGAGGGGACAGACAGGCTCCAGACTGTTCCTACTCTCAAGGGGTTCCCAGAGGGTGAGCCCAGCTCCCTGCCAGTGACCAGCAGGGATGAGGGGCATCCTTCTCCTTGGAGTGGCTCCTATCCCTGGTTCACAGGACGGTCTCTCGGATGACACCAATGAGGCTGTGTGGCCGGTCAGCCTCTGCTCGTCGTAGGGGCCTCCTGCTGCTTCTGGGCCTCCCCGCAGGGCACGCGAAGGTGCTCAGGTCCCCGCAGCTGCGCAGGTGCAGCAGGCTGGGCTGGCTCCTGGAGGGCGGCACAGGGGCCTGGGTAGCACTGGGCTGTGATGGAGCCATTATCTTTAGGAGAAAAAGGAGAGGAGTAGGGGAGGTTACACTTTGCTCCGGCAACCCTCTGATCTGCCCCCCATATTGTGTCGCAGTGCTTCACAAAAGCAAGAGTGGTTTCCCATGGCACAGCCTGCTTGGACTCCCAGGGTACTTTAACAACTGCCTCTTTTCTAAGGTTTAAAGAAAAAAATCCCTACATTTCCTATTGCTTTGACCATAGCCTTACCACACTTGCTCCCAGGGCAGCCGCAGTATCTGGTTTTGTATTTACTGATCTCCTGACTACTCTCCCCCACTTTCCCTGTAGTCGAGGCAAGTGGGTCTCGTTAATGGAGAGGTGGGGGGCAGGGGTCACAGGCCTTATGAGGAGCCTGAATGCTTACTGCCTCCCACACTGGTCATAAAGCAGAGCCTGAGCATTTAGAATTTTAATAAGAAGCCAGTGATCCCAATGCACCTGAAAGCTTGAAAACTACTGGCATGGTCAGGTACATACATACAAAATGTCAACCAAAACCAACAGTGCTTCAGATTGTTCAGATAGTTGCTCAACAAGCAACAAAAACTAGGCCAATTTATTTGCTTAAAAAAAGAACCTGTTCTGCATACTGTCACCAGAACTTGGCAAAACTACAGGAGATCCCTCATACAGTTGGCACAGAGGGAAAGGCTGTCCACTTGGGACAGCTTCAGAATGTTGCCTCGTCTTGTCTATGCGGCCTGTGCTATTGCTATCCTTGAGAAAGCCTCGGGAAATATTACCGTAGAGCATCACAGAACAATCATGTGGATGGGTTCTACTCTATACCACTGTAAGCTTTTAAGGTCCTTGAAAGGTTAATCTCAGGGCCAGCAAGATAGCTCAGTGGGATAAAGCACCTGCTTAGGCAAGATTAGGCAAAGCGCAGGACTGGTTCAATCCATGGCACCACAGTCCATGCCAGCCCCGCCCCCAGGGCGGGCTGAGTTGGCCACACAAAAAAATAATTAATTAATTAATTAAAACGGTTAATGTCTCAAGGGCCAGTCTGATAGTTTAGTGGACTAAGAGCTTGCTTAGGCAGAGTGCAGTGGCCGGGGTTTGATATCCAGTGTGCTGTGCCGGCCCCGCCTGCGGGGCGCGCTGAGACAGTGATTGAGAGTGAGCATGGTGGCGCATGCCTGTAATCCCAGCACCTGGGAGGCTGAAGATAGGAGAACCACGATGAGCCCGATTTATGTAGTGAGACCCTATAGATCCTGTACTAAAGACAGGGGAAAAAAAGGGGGGTTAATTTCTCAAAAGACAGGAGATTAAGTTTTGCTCTCTAATAACTCTATTTGTCTTTGTGGCCTGTCCCTGTCTCTTACTTAATAAGAAATTCCAACATTCATTACATTTCACTGTGATATATGATAAGTTAGGAAAAGGGTTTTGTTTTTTCTATTGGGAAAAAAATCAAAATGGACCTAAAAACTCATTCTAGTCACTAAAGAAAGTGAAGTGAGCAAAGCTGGGCAGAGTCAGAAGTCAAAGGTTCCTTTCCGTTGTCTTGGTCTCCTTTTACCTGGAGAAGGCATTACCATGTTCACCACTGGGGCCCAGCAGGGGCCCAGTCTGTCACAATAATCTTAACATTTGAACTTTTAATTAATCTGGAACAGAAGAATCTAGCAAACATCTGTAACTATAGCATGTACGCAACTGTAAGTGACAGTTCTTCTCTGCCAGACTGATTTCCAGTTTGGCAAAAGGAGAAATAGGTCACCCACTGCCTGGCAGACACTCCAGCTCCTTCCTCATCAAAGCTTGGGGGCCTTCGAGAGGTGGTGCCAGGGGCTTGCTCTTCTGTTCTGGACCACTGAGAACAGACAGAAGGGCAGAAGTAGAAAATGACACCTGGAATAGCTCAGGGTCATCAGGATATACAGACCTCCCCTGCACAGGTAACAACTAGAGCCTGACCCTCAACCTCTGACTGCCCATTCCTTTAGAAACATATGAGAAAGGAGGCTGCACTTCTAGGACCTCTTACTACAAATCATCAGACAAAGCTTCTCTCTTGGATTCCCAGGGAACAGGGGGAGAATCTGGCTTCTGGCTTTGCTTTGGTAAGAAAACTCTAGCAGATAGAAAGGAAGACCAGAAAGGGGTTTATTTAACTTGCCTTAAAATTTTACCTAGGGTCCTAGATGGCAATTACTCTGAGGATCAATGCAAGACAACTTAAGTACTTGTTGGGTGATTAATGCACAAAGGTACTGAGCCAAGTAATACCATGAGCCACTGGGAACTGATGCCACACTGCCCACCCCACTGGCCCACAGGAATGGAGCCACCAGCTGAAGGGTAACAGCTTTTGATGCAGTGGAGAGGTTTTAAGCAGGAGGGAATCCAATCATCAGAGATACAGGAATAGACCCCACGTCACCTAACCCTTCAGGTTGAAAATAAGGATAGATTATGGGCATTCCAATTTTCTGTGGGTCACTTCTATTCAGAAGACTGTCCTTCCTTTTTACTTTGTTTTTTATGAGATAGGGCCTCACTGTGTAGCCTATGTAGCCTCACTATGTAGTTTGGGCTCAAACTTACTATCCTCCTTCGTCAGCTTCCCATGTGCTGGGATTATAGGTGTGCATCACCATGTTCAGTTGCTTTTTATTTTTTTATTTTATTTTTTTCCAGAACCAAGGATTGAACTCAGGCCCTTGTGCTTGCCAGGCAAGCGCTTATTCTACTGAGCCATCTCCCTGGTACCTATGGAAAGAAAAAGGGTTATTTCTTTAAGTCCTGATGGCTTATTTATAGTGCCAAGCAATTTGTGCAAATGTGAACAGCTCCCAGAACCTTGCAGATATTCTGATTCACCTTTGCCATCATTCTCAAAAGGCTGAGAAAACACATCCCATCAAAGGAAGCCTCCCTTCAGGAAATCAGTGCTGCCCAGACCCTGGGCCTTTCCAAGTCTGCTCCTACATCTTAGAAAACTGGGCTCTCTTCCCTTGGGCCAAAACCACAGTGCAAATCTCATCAGGCCTGAAAGGAAAGTTCAGGCTTCCTCCCCTCCCTGGGCTCCTCCCCCAGCTCCCTGACCCCAGCTCCCTGACCCCAGCTCCCTGACCCCAGCTCCCTGACCCCAGCTCCCGACCTTGAACTCACTGTGCCTTGGCTGGGAAATCAGAGAAACCACTCAAGCTGGTTCCTGGTTGCCATGGAAACCAATCATCAGAGGGATGCTTGCTATCAATAATAAAATACCTGTTCAAGGAAACTGGCACTGGTGATGGCTTCCTCCATGTGCTCCTCATCGGACTTCAACACAGACTTAATATTCTCTACCAGTTCGTGAATGTCGGGGGTCATAGTGCAGGAAGACTGCTCCAGAAACCTGGCCACCAGTAGCTTGGTGTCTATGTAAGACCTATAATCTATCAAAGACCGAGGCCTACATCGTGATGCTTTTGGTCTCAATCCTCTCCTCAGGGTCACCGCAGCCAGGTCCAGTCTCCTTTCAGTCTGTGTTGCAGCTTCACAGCTGAGCACTGGGGTAGCTGTGGACAGACAAACAACATGAACCCATTGGCTGAGTCCCTTTGAACACAGGCCACAAAACTCACCACAGAAAGCATGTGACAAATGCCAACAGTCATGCACACCTTGTTTTTCATCTTACAGAAAAAAAAAAAAATCGAAAGTATGACACAAACCTATTCCTTGAGTGCACTTCCAATCTGGTGTGTCCTGAGACATTTAAGTGTCACATAAAACACAACCTTAGCAAAGACAGAGGTCAGAGAGTAGAATGTAGAATGCAGACCATAATCGAGTGAGCTTCATGGAGCGCAGCAGATAGATTACAGTGAACAAAATAAAACAAACAAACAACAAAAAAATATGGCTGACAAATGAAAGAATGTTCTGGAATGAAAGAGTCACTTAGAGAATGAAGAGACAAGACTGTGGAGTGAATTAATGCTATGTTCACTGAAGACTGTACCTTTGTCCTAAACATCCTCAAGGGCACTGTACTGACTTCTATTACCGACGTTCACACCGTGGCTATGAGGTAGATCTATGCTGACTATTATAGGAAATACAGATTCGGAGAGATTACACATCGTTCCTGAAGACAACAGCGGGCCTGGAAAATCCACAGGAGGTTCTAATTTCCACGGCTACCTACAGCAATGAGGGTAGAAGGACCAGCAGAACGCCACTGCACCAGGAAGTGAGTGAAGTGAAGCTCAAGCCTGGTCTCCACATGTCCACAAGTTGGCCAGCACCCGTCAGTGTATACAACACTGACAACTTTAGTCTATGAAGGCCTACGTGGGAATTTAGATATTCAAAGGAGACAGGAAGCCAAAGGTAAGAAAGCAGATGGAGAAGATGCGCACTCCTTTTACTCTAAACTGGGGATTAGAGGTTGTGCTCCAAGGTTGGCATCTGCATGGGGCAGAGAGCAAGAGTCTTCCAGAAACATGGTAAAGACATACTTGTGTGAGGACAGAGCCAGGATGTATGCTCATTCCCATGACAGGAACCCGGGGCCTCCCACAATGAAACGATCCAAAGGGCAATCACGCCATCCTTGCCCCTGCAATACGTGAAGAGGTTCCACACAGACCTCCCTTAGCAGTGCAGGCAGTTAAGTTCTCATGGAAGCTGGTAGGCAGCCAGCTCAAGTCCTCCACCATGCAGGTGAGTCTGGGAATCAGCACCCAGCTGCCCAGCAGTGTGAGTTGTATGCAGAGGGCACTCAGTCCAGGAGATGAGGTGTCCTCCCAGGCCCAGTGCTGCAGAGACATGAGGAGTGTTCTCTGGGGCTCCCACATGGTCAGTCCAGAGCTGTGGCCAACAGCACACATTGTCAGGGGGACAGAGGAGAAACTGCAAGGGTTTGAGCAAGAACTGAGAGAGAACAGGGTTAGAGGCTGAGCAAATTTCATTTGCAGGGCTTTAGAAGAACAGAGGCCACTTATTGAAATAGCTCCCCCAAAGAATGCCCTATTGATGAAATGAGGTTTTCATACTTGATTTGTTTCCAATTTTCTACAGTGATGAGATCTTTGGAAATGTCTAGGTATTCATAGATTCAGAAAAAAACACTAGGGGCTCAGTAAAATAAGTGCTTGCCTGGCAAGTGCAAGGGCCTGAATTCAATCCCTGGTTCCGCAAAGAAAAAACAAAAACAAAACCTAAATATTATTTTTAAGGTTTGTTTTTTTTATATATATATTTGGTACAGGGTTTACAGGGTCTCACTACGTAGTCCAGACTTATAGTGATTCTCCTGTTTTCAGCCTCCCAAGTGCTGGGTTTACAGGTGCGTGCCACCATGCCCAGTCTCAATTGCCATCTCAGCATGCTCAGGGGGTGGGTCTGGCACGATACACTGGGAATCGAATCCCAGCCACTGCACTCTGCCTAAGCAGGCACTTTAGTCCACTGAGCTATCTGGCCAGCCCTTAAATATTATTTTTAAATGTTTAACTTGTTCAAATAATGTCTCTACACAAGTCAAACTGAAAATAGAGAAAGGGAGATCAACTGTGTATATTTCAAGATATTCAAAGTTCTTAATACAAGGCCAGATTCCCATAGTTCAACACATAGGAAAAAAGATAGCAAACACTAACCTCCAGAAAAGGGGGTGAAAACTACACACCCTTTTGCTTTTATTTCCACAGGATTGTAAACAACTAGAAATCCAACTAGGCTTCCATAATTTTCTTCCTGGCATATCTAGCATGGTAGCACCTACAAGTAAAGGCTTCTGATAGGAGTGACTTAAAAAACAAATTCTGCCAGCTACAAAAGAAGCGACACACACTTCTCATGGGAATGCCAAAGAGCCTCTTTTCCCAAGGCTCCTTAATCTACCTGTAGGCACCACATGAACTGTAGGGCCCTCGGCTGGCCAGCCAGCTGCTGTTACCTGGCACATTTAGACACACAGTGGTCTGCAGAGAGCCTGGGGAAGGACATCACCTCTCTCCTCAGAATGGTGGAGCACAGGATCACTCTTCGTTCTTGTCCTTAGAGGTGGGAGGGCTCTCCGGCTTCTTGTGGGATGTGCTGGATTTGAGCTGGGAGTTGGTATGGATGCGCTTTCTTCTCCAGGTGTGTTAGGAATGTCCCCACCTGCATCATTTTAAATGGGAGAAACATAAATTATTTCACCAGCTGCAGCCTTCCAAATGTTTAGCAGGAAATACCTGTGAGCCCAAACCTGGCAGGGCAAGAGTAATACAGATAATAACATTTATTTAGGCTGCCCGCCCAGGCTGTATTTCCCAGCACTATGGGAAAGCCTGCCTCTCCAAACCACCTGCCACACCTAAAACAAACAAACAAGAAGCATTAAGCCCAGAGCCAAGGAGCCATGCCAGAACATCAGCTTTCTCCAAAGGAGCCTAGAGTCTCCTCCACAGGTGCTTCCTACGGCAACACTGGGAAACTCACCACACTTTGTAGGTTCTGACTGTGTATTCAGGCCAAGCTTGCTGCAGGAACCCCTGCATGGGTGAGGGGCGCCCTGTGTGCTGCAGGCCAGGGTGTGGTGGGACACTGGGCTGGGTCACTAAATGAATCTGAAAAACTACTCTGGAATTGGATGGCTTTTGCTCAGGAAATAAAATCATATCACTTGAGAGCCAAAGCTATAGTTCGGAAAAGTCTCTGTAAAAATGGAACAATTCCATAGATAGGGAGCTCATGAACAACAACAACAACAAAAAAAAAACCTACATGGAAAATACTTCAAAGAATCAACTACTGGGATCTCATCTTTTTGAAAAGTTCCTGCATGTCAAAAGAAATCACCAGCAGAGTAAAAAAGAAAACCCATGAATTGGGAAAAAAAGTCAGACAAAAGACTTCTAACTAGAACATATAAAGACTTTAAAAAACATTGTGACCCCCAAAACTCAAAGACCCAATCAAAAAATGGGCATCTGAGATGAATACACTTCTCAAATGAAGAAATACTGATGGCAAATAAATACATGAAAAAATGTTCAATATCATTGGTCATCTGAGAAATGTAAACTAAAACAACTGAGATTCCATCTCACCCCAGAAAGAAGGGCTGTCATTAAGAAGTCAACCAATAACAAATGGTGGAGGGGCTGTGGAGAAAAAAAGAACTCTTCTTCACTGTGGCAGTGTAGACTGGTACAACCACTATGGAAATCAGTGTGGACATTCCTCAAAAAACTAGGTTTTTTAAAAATTTTTTTTATTTTTTAGGAGAGTAACAATGGTTAGTACATTGTATGTTGTTACTGCCAAAGTAGTTTCTCATATTACAAGATATAGGCAAGAAATAATAAATAAACAACATAGGTACAAACCTCTGTGTTTTTTTTTAAAGTCAACAGAAAATGGAAATATACTTTTTAAAGTTTCTAATACTAGGAGAAGATATCATACAATGTCTTTTAAATAAATTGTAAGTCAAAGATATAGTATAAATCTTACAACAAAAATTAAGATTAAGCAATATTCAGAAAATTAAATGTTTCAAAACAATTGAACTAAGAAAAAGTTTTCATGATAGCAAAGAAGTACTAAGAGTAAAACATAAGATAAATACTGGAATGGTAAGTAAATGACCAGCACTTCTAACAGTTTGAGGATAGGATATCGCACAAAACTAGGTTTAGAGGTCCCATTCAACCCAGCTATTCCCCTCCTGTGTATTTTCCAAGAAAAAATGAAAACATCATACCACAGAAATATATATGCACCCATGTTTATAGCAGCACAGTTTATCAAAGCTAAATCTTGGGAACAACCCAAATGTCCATCAAGTGAGGAATGGATAAAAAAAGATGTGTTAATTTTACACAATGGAATATTACTCAGTTATAAAAGAAATAAACTAAAGGCTTTTATAGGAAAATGGATGCAACTAAAGACCATACTCATAAGTGATATGAATCAGAGCCGCATGTGTAAACATTGCATTGTCTCACTAGTGTAAGAACCTGAAAGATTAAATAAAATCTGAAAGGTAAAATAAATACTGTGAAAGAGAAAGAATCTGTTCAAAGGGAAGCAACAACTGGGATGAGGGCAAGGACAAAAGAAAGAAGAAAGGGGGGGGGCAAAATGGCTCGGCAGAATAGGCACCTGCTTAGGCAAGTACAAGCACTGGGGTTCAATCCCTGGCACCAGATGGTGCGCTGGCCCTACCCCTGGGTACACTGAGTCAGCAACTAAGACTGGACGTGGTGGTGTACACCTGTAATCCTAATACTGGGGAGGCTGAGACAGGAGGATCACTATGAGTTCAAGCTGTGTAGTGGGATCCTGCACCAAATACATTACAAAAAAGAGTATCTGTAATAAAATAGAAAAAAGTATAGACTTTTTCTGCATCTATTGTGATAATCGTTTGTCCTTCTCCTTAAGTGATAGATTATATTTATTGATTTGTGTAACTTGCATTGAACGATTCTTACAATTCTGTGGTCTAATTTTAGGATTATGGTAAGGTTAGCTTCTAGAAATGACTTTCAGAGGATGGTACTTTCATTTCAACTTCATTACAGAGCTTGAGGAGTAGTGCTGGTTACTTTTTTCTCACAGTTGTGCCACGGGGTGCTTACTGTGCAGTGTGAAAGTGTGGAGTAGTGTGGTGCTCAGTCAGAGCCCAGGATGTCCGGAGCCAAGAGGAAGAGTAGTGGTAATGAGGCGGGGAATGCTGAGAAGCGCCGAGCAATGTACATTATGTATCTGTGTCCAAAGTGTGTAAGACTCACTTCATTGGACACACACGTGAACTCATCTTAAATTGTTTCTCCAGAATGGAACACATTCGCAAGTCAGGGACTTACTGTGTAGTGAGCCTCTCTGTATCCTCTGATTAGTTTTGGCTTGAAGTCCACTTTGTCCACAAATAGGATAGCTATTCCTACTTGTTTTGGGTTTCTGCTGTATGGAACATTATTTTCCATCCTCTGACTTTCAGTCTATGAATTTCTCTTTGGGTAAAATGAGTTTTTTTGTACCTAGACAACCAGTGAGCTTGTTTTCTTGATCCACTTTTCCAGTCTGTGTCTTTTGGTTGGGACAGTAAGACATCTACTTTGAGAGTCATTATTGAAAGGTACTGATTAATCCCGTTACTGTGTTATTTTCCTGTGGCTGATTCCCTTTCTTTTCCTTCCACTGCTCCCTCTTGTGGAGGACCACCTGAGCAGCTCTCCTTGAAAGAAGAGTGACTGTCCATTCTGACTGAGCCTGACCCTATTTCCTTGTGTCAATATGTACAGAGCTGGCTAGGACTTCTGCTTATCCTTTCAAGTGGCCTTAAGCAATGTATATTGGTCTAGCTGAGGTGCTGGTGATAGTCTTTGAAGATGGTATTCATGTTTCCCTGGTAACCTACACTTGCTGCTCCTCAATGTGAGCCAGGTCGAGACAGGATGAAGAGCCAATGCTTTGGATCTGTGCCAACAGCTGGGATCTAGCCTTGAGACAGAGGCTATCACTTCCTGGGGCTTGAAAGACTACATCAAAGCTGAAGCACCAGACCCCCCAAAACATTAGATGCTATCTCATGGCATAATAATATAATGCAGATTACTGTCTCTGCATATGGCAGAGGTAAATGTAGGCCACCCACCTAGCTCAGCTCACAGTACTCACCACTTCCCACAATTCTCGGTCATTCCTCCTCAAGCCATTCCTCCACTGAATAAAACCGGGTGAGGCCCTGGGTCAGCCTCTTTGTTCCAGAAAGCAATCTTCATGGCTGGACTTAGGGCCCCTTGGCTCCCCAATAATTATAAATATGTTTTAGTGTCTTTACTTTTGCTGTGAGTTACACTGGGAGTGGATATTGGAATTAACTTGGTGGGATTCCAATAATATATCTTTGAGATTACAAATATTAACTTCTTGGACTGAGACAAAAGCCAGGAAGCAGGGCCAGGGAGATGGCTCAGTGGAATAAGCGCTTCCCTGGCAAGTGCAAGGGCCTGAGTTCAATCCCCAGTTCTGGGAAAAACAAAACAAAACAACAACAAAAAAAAACAGGAGGGGCTGGAGAGATGGCTCAGTGGTCTAAAGCACCTACTTGAAACAAGCTTGGCAAAGCACAGGGACCGCGGTTCGATCCCCAGCACCACATGCCAGCCAGACCCACCCCCTGGTGGGCTGAGCTGGCCACACACACACACACACAATAAATGTAATAAATAAAAATAAATAAATATTTAAAAAAAAAAACAGGAAGGGACTCTGACACCCCTTCCTAATGTGTTCATTCTATTGGACCTCTTGGCGTTGTTGTCTTCATGGTCTCTTTCTAGGATGTCCTTGGGAAGTATTAGGAGTGCTGGTTTTGTTAGTGATAGATTTCTTTAGGTGCTCTTTACCACAAAAATATCTTCTGCCCATCAATTTTAAATACAATTGTAATTTCAAATATATAACTTATTACTGAAGGGAAAAAGGAGAATAACACTAAATATCCAGAACAACAAAAAAAGAAGAATCTATCAAATGCAAAACCTCTTAAATAAAGAATACACTTAAATAACATAGATTCTTATCAACTTTAAAGTTGGATGGAGGACTGGTGAGATAGTTCAGGGGACTAAGCACCTGCTTAGGCAAGCACAGGGACATGGGTCTGATCCCTGGCACCACATGCAGCACTGGCCCCGCCCTCAGGTGCACTGAGCCAGCCACCAAGTCTGGGTGTGGTGGTGCATGCCTATAATCCCAGTGCTGGGGAGGCTGAAAGCAGGAGGATCACTATGAGTCCGAGGGGCATAGTGAGATACCTTTTTTTAAAAAATGAAGGGAAAAAGATATATTTATGTATGCACACAGGATAGCTTGGATAATTGTACTGCTGATTTCTGCTGGTCTATTGAAAGGAGTAATTAATGCTTAAATCTTTTTTCTCCTCTTTAATTCTTAAAAATTTTAACCAATTTTGCATGTTTATACCTGGTAACCTGAACAACTATTTTGAAGACAATATGAAATATAACAACCATTGCTGAATTCCTATTATTCTGTTTGGTGAAATTATCATTTCTAATGTTTTTTGTTTTGTTTTGTTTTGTTTTTATTCTCTTTAAAAATAAGATCCAGCTCTCCCATTGCCCCTGCCATGGGGTCCT